TAGAAAAATGCAGATTTTGGCAATCCTCACCCAGGTTGACACCAATATAGAGGTATTACGTACTGTTGGAGAACTTGAGATTTTATTAAAATTAATATCCCCTTCATTGAGTAATAATTTAAAATATCAAATAACTAATGACTGATAAATTGTTGTAGTTTATGATCTATAATTTTATATTATTTGATAGAAATTAAATATTTCCTTGAAAACTAAACTAAAACCATATAAACTTAGAAACTTTTAAAATTTATTTTCAGCTAAACAAGCCAAAAATATGAAGTACATAGAATTGTCATACTTTTTTTTAAGGTTATCAATTTATTCATAATACATAAACTCACCACAAACCACAAAAACTCAGGCATTCTCTTGAGAGGCACGACTGACGGGGCTCATCATATTATGTTGAATATAGAAGAAGAAAGGGTATGTCCATGTGAGGTTGTCACCTACCTTGGTATACAAATTGATCAAAAGTTCAACGTGACTCCTCACTTGGACTATATGAGAACTAGATTTACAGTGGCCCTAAATGAGGTCTCAGCTATAATGGCTATTTACAAAGGAATAGTTTTGGGTATTTTGAGATATAGCCCCAGCCTGGAACCTAAACCTCTCGCACCAACAGAAGAGTAGGCTGGCATCGATTCAGAGATTGGCTTTACTTCAGGTCACTAGGGCCTAGAGAACGGTATCTCATGAGGCAGTGCAATTACTGGCAGGAGGATACCTCTCGATCTCCTCCTGCAAGAAGAGTATTACTTCTTTAAAATGGAAAAAAAAGATTCGGCGGACCTACCAGAATATCTAAAAGATGAGAATTGACGATGACCCAAGAAGATGGAAAAGAATTATCAGAGAGGACTCAGTTAATGTATGGAATCGGCGATGGATGGCAACTCCGAAGGGGGCTACCCTAAGAAGAGACTTTCCCACGGTCAAGTCACGATTAGATGCAAGATGGGTCCTCCCAAATTACTGGGTGCCTCAACTCCTCACAGGACATGGGGCTTTCAAGTGAAGCTCGTGAAACACGGAAAGAATATTGGTCCGCTGTGCCCCAACTGGAGGCTGCTGAATACGTGGTCGTCGAATACACTGCCTATGAGGCACTAAGAGCTAAGCTTCTCAGAGAGACGGAGATATATACAATGACAGAGAGCATGTTCCCCCAGCTAATCATCATCATCATATGTGGCACGACATCCCGTTACCGAGACTGGGCCTCCTCTAAGAGCCTCCGCCAGTTGGCTCTGTCTTCTGCTGCAGCTCTCCAGTTCCGTACACCAAGCAGGGTTCTCGCATCATAGGCCACGTTGTCCAACCATCTCGTCCTCGGTCTTCCTACCCGTCTTACGAGGTGCAGCTCCTCCATCATTATTTTCTTTGGTATTTCAACGGTGCTCATTCTGGCCATATGCCCTGCCCACCTTAGCCTGGCCAGTTTAATATACGTGACTACGTCGATGTCTGTATACAGAGAACTGAGCTCCCTATTTTTTCTTTTCCTCCAGACATCACCCTCCTTTACTGCACCATAAATCCTTCTGAGGACTCCTCGCTCAAACACACTGAGCTTCATCTCATCGTTTTTAGTCATCGTCCAAGCCTCTGAGCCATATGTCAAAACAGGCCGAACAAGGGTCTTGTATATGATCAGCTTGGTCTTCTTTGAGAGGTACCTACTTCTTAAGTGTCGGCCAAGTCCAAAGACACATCTATTGGCAGCCGTGATCCTTCTTTGTATTTCTTGAGCCATGTCATTTTTGCTATTAATTTCAGACCCAAGGTATATAAAACTTTTCACTCTCTCAAACTTAAAAGAACCTACCTCAAATGGAGAGTTCAGATCCACCTCACCACCAACTCTCATATACTTAGTTTTCCTCTCGTTGACTTCTAGACCAAGTGGTCTTGCAGCTGCTTCAAGGCCTATAAACGCTTCTCTGAGAGCCCGTTCAGACCTACCTATTATGTCAATATCATCAGCAAAACCAAGAAGCTGTGTCAGGCGATTGAAGATTATATCGTTGGTCTGAATACCGGAGTCTCTTACAGCTTTCTCCTCTGCCAAGTTGAACAATAGACAGGCGAGGGCATCCCCTTGCCTAACCCCACTGCTCACTTTAAACTCTTCGGAGTCGTCAGAACCGACGCGTATTCTACATCTCGAGCTGTCCATGGTCATCTTGATTAGGCGTACGAGCTTCTGAGGGATGCTTAGCTCCTCCAAGGCACAGTATAGTTGCGTTCTATCAACGCTGTCGTATGCTGCTTTAAAGTCTAGGAATAAATGGTGGGTGACTACCTTACGCTCCATAGTCTTTTCTAGGATCATCCTCAGAGAGAACAGTTGATCAGTGGTTGAGCGTCCTCTTCGAAATCCAGCCTGATATTTCCCCAGTTCCTTTTCAGAATACGGGAGGATCCTCTCAAAAAGAATGTTAGAGAGCAGCTTATAAGCACACGAAAGGAGTGAGATTCCTCGATAGTTAGCGCATTCTGTTTGATCTCCTTTCTTATGTATTGGACAGATAATGGCTGTTGCCCATTTCGTAGGCATAGCTTCCCTCTTCCAGATGGTCAGCATTAAATCATGCAGAGCTTTCTTGAGTTCTTCACCTCCACATTTCAACAGCTCTGACTGGATTCCGTCCGGACCTGGCGCCTTTCCATTTTTCAATTTCCTCAGGGCGTTTTCCATTTCCTCCTCATCCGGGGGTTCAATAGAATTCAGGGAGTCTTCCTTCATTACTCCTACTTCTCCAGGCACCGTTCCTCTGTTTAATGCGTCTTTGAAATGTTGTACCCATCTCCTTAGTACTTCATCTTTGTGGCTTAAAAGAGTTCCATTCGTGTCTTTGCATGCCGTCACTCTGGGCCTGAATGCTGCCCTACCCTCGTTTATTCTCTGAAAGAACAGCCGACTTTCATTTTGGCCGCGCAATGCCTCTGTGTCCTCCATGTTCTTATTTTCCCAAGCTCTTCTCTTTCGACGGAATAATCTCTTCTCTTCGCGTCTTTTTCTTCGATATTTTTCTTGGGAGAGCCTTGTGGGACGCTGAACCTTCTTTCTGTAGGCTTCATTTTTCACTTTTACTGCTTGAAGGCACTCAGCATCAAACCATGGGGGCCTTCTAGATTTAGTCTCGTAGCCAAGAGATTCTTCTGCTGCCTGTTTCATTGCGTTGCTGCATCTCTTCCACTGTTCATCGACCATAGAGCTGTCATTAATTACTTCTTCATTAAGTTTCGTCTCCACAGTTTGTTGATACGAATGTTGCTTTGTGGATATTCTTTCGAGAAAAAAGAGTTGTTCCAACAACCAGTCCGTGCAATGTAGCAAAGTTCACCATCCGTAGCCCATTATCATTACTGGTCTCATGCAAGCTGTGGGTTCTTATGGTCGGCATGAGTGCCACCTCCTTACCAACTTGGGCGTTAAAGTCACCAAGAATGATTTTAACATCATTTTTGGGGCAGCTTTCTGTCACGCGTCCAAGTTCTTCATAAAATGTTTCCTTATCCTCCTCAGGTGACACCTCTGTTGGGGCATGGCAGTTGATTAGAGAGAAATTAAAAAATTTTCCTCTAAGCCGAATGTAGCATAACCTTTGGTTAATGGGAGTAAATCGCATCACTAGCTGTCGAGCTCTGCCTCTCACAACAAATCCGGTACCGAAGATGTGATGCTTTTCGTGGCAGCTATAGTAGAGTGTATGGTATTTCTTCTCCATAATTCCCTGTCCTATCCATCGGACTTCTTGGATAGCTGCTATGTCGATTCTGTAAGTGTCCACTTCTGCAAGGAGCGCATGAAGTGCTCCTAGTCTATGTAATGATAAAATGTTCCAAAATCCAATTCTTAGGTCATTTAGGCGTTTCCTGGGTCTGTTACCGTAATTCAGTCCGGCTTCTTCTCTTTGAGGTTTCGTAATAAGGTACTTTAGGGGGAGGTGGGTTATCAGCCCACTGCCCCCGAGTCAGGTAAAGGGGCTGCCTCCTCCGAGCATCCTGACTAGCTCCCCCATCCGGGGCGGCTACCTAGGGAAGGTTACTGTAGGTACCTAGGGTGTGTACTGTAGGTGACCTTTGTCTGTAGTGTTTAGGTGTTGTAGTGTGCTGTATAAAGTGTACTTGGTGTGTGAGTGTTCGTGTAAGTGTTCCTCCAACCTGGAGGGCCAGTGGCTGGTTGCAGTACAATGACCGGGCGATGGGACCGCCACCTCCCTACGCCTAGCTAATGCTGAGAGAATTATCAACATTATAGGGAATTTGTATAGGGGTGGAAAGATACTGTAGGCCCTACACATTTTAATCTAGAAGAGATGAAACTTAAGCCAAGCAGCAGCTGCTCCGAAGACCGGCTTCAGGTGGAAGAAGGAGAAAAAATGGAGAAAAGGAAAGGCATGGGCTTGTGGACAGCCATAACAAGTCTACACCTCAGTTTTTACAATAATAATTATAAATAATAAATGAAGAGAAGGATGGTTGGGGTGATCAGTCAAAATAAAAAATAGCAAAAATAAATATTATTATTTATTAAATAATAAATAAATATTAAATTCTTATATTTGAATATTATGTTATTAATTTTAATACCATTATTTTATTTTAATATTAAAATAAATAAATAATAAATAATAATATTTATTTTTGCAATTTTTTATTTTGACTGATTACCCCAACCATCCTTCTCTTCAATTATTCAATACAGTTAATCAGAAACCCACAATAAATAATATATGTTAAACAAAGTTTAATAAAATAGACCTGTACTGTAGCAGTGGCATACATATATACCCTGCGTAATACCCCACTGCTGCTACAACCCGTATTGCCTGTAAGAAAAGGCAGAGAGGAAAAAAAAAAAAAAAAATTAAAAGTTGTATGATGTGAAGGTTACACCCGATTTTTTAAAAGTATGATTAAAAAATTGATATCCTAATTAAATTAACCTAATAAAAGAATAATTATTTTAGATAACTAAAAATTACCTCATTATCATTAATATCTGGAATGGAATTTCTCCCTTGACTGTAAACAGTTGAAAAAGGCTTTGGTTTAATCAAGTAGGGAGAAGGTGTTCGGCATCTTCTTGAAACTCCATTCTATATTAAATACAAATAAATACAAGATAGATACATGCACAGGTACATCTACTACTAATGTATATAAAAATGAGAGAGAAAAAAAAAGTAAATATAATTGGGAATTTCATACACAAAGCCATAAGTCTCTAAAATATAGGTAAACAAAATAACCAGTAAACGTTTTGCCAACGCAGGCATTATGATGGCATAAACTATCTAAACCACATATATGTAGATCAAATTTAACAAATCCCTAATCAAGAGTAAAAAAAAAAATAGATATATTAACTAAAAACAGTACATTACTCCATGACATCCAAACTTATTCTCTATTACAAATATATATACTGAAATCATAGCTAATTTAAATACAATTTATTAAATAAATATAAACTATTTAGTCACCCATTATCTAACAAAATACAATGTTAGGTAAAAGGAAATTACAAAACAAACATCTTATAGCTTAAGAATATGATCTATAAAATTTTATAAATCTTTGAGCGTAGTCTGTTCACATTGTAGCACCAATATGGTTATTATTAGTTATTAGTTTCCAATTCCTTAACATAAAAATATATAAAAATAACTATTGTTATCATAAAAAAATTATAATAAAAAATGTGAAAATGATAAGATTCAATTCTCTACATGGTTTAACACCCTTATGAAATATCAATGACCAAAAAATGCCTAGACCTATGAAATTGGTCCTCTTTAAGTTAATATAACATACCTGAACGATTTCTTAACAAGCAAATACAATTCTTGTACTAGGTCAATTTGTTTAAAATCTTATGCAGGTTTTTAATCATGCCTTGCATTAGGTAGTCAATAGCTTGAATATCATGGGAAACATTCATGTAATCAAGTATGTGCATATGTGGACGAAATCTGCCAAGTGGCTAGGAATATTGCTCTATTCAAGGATTCTATCAATGTACTTAATAATGAAATTCTGAAAATTGGCCTAAAGATTAATCAGAAAAGGACCAAATATATAAGTATTAGGCCAGACCAGGATAATGCTCGTGTAACTTTTAACGGATAGTTTTCAGAGAGTAAGCAGTTTTATTTACCTCGGGTCAGAACTAAATAATGAAAACAGAATATTAAACAAAGTAAACAGAAAAATAATGGCTGCTAATCGAGCATACTTTGCCAATATGAATTTTTTAAGTCAGGGATTATTAAAGTCAGGCTATGTAAAACATTGGTAAGGCCCATTTGAAAACATTGTGCTGAAAACTGGACCCTCATTACTGTGATGACAAATAGCCTGAATTTGTTTCAGTGATATATCCTTCGAAGTTTTGGATTAAAATTTAAAGACATGGAGATTCTGTTAGAACGTTGAACTCTACCCAGTATACCAAGACACAAACGTGGTACAGCTTATCAAGGCTCGCCATCTTGAATGATTGGGGCATATAACACGGATGTCAGATGATAGGATGTCATACAGATTTCTGTCTAGTGTGGTAATCAGAAAGAGAAGAGTTAGGCTAACATGCAGACGATGGATCCAGGATGTTAAGGAAGACCTGTCAGAAGTGGGTGTAACGAGGTGAAAGAGAGAAGGAAGAATGGAAAGGAGTCATCAAAGAAGCTAAGGTTCATTTTGGGCTGTTACCAGTAAGTAATTCATAAAAAAAATATGAAATTGATATACAGAATTACTTAATAAATTAACTTAAGACTCACTAATTATGAAGCAGATATTATAAGTTATAAACATAAATTATGGAATTCAATATCCCTTTACCTATATTTACAATAATTAATAAAACCTATAACCTTAACTTACAGTTTTAGAAGGCCAAGAAGATTCGTTTCCTTCATGAGAAATATTTTCTTTCATTTTTTTAAAATCTGTAGTGCCATTTTGAGTAACAGGAAAACTACCTTTATTTTCCAGCTCTTTAGTATTGTCACTATCTAATAAAACAAAAAAATATATTTACAGAATAGAATAGAAAATTGAACTTTGTTCTGGGACTAAGTCTCCTAAGGATAACAATAATGAACAAATACAAAAGAAAATATATATCTGGCCAACAACTAATTTAATAAAGATTCTAACAATATATACAGTAATTTAAATAATAGTATGTAAACCACAATAAAAAATAAAAATAAATGAAAATAAAATCTTCTCAAAAAACTTATTGTTGTAACGGAAAAAAAATTTACCTAATTATATATATAAAACTATATAATTTATACACACAAATGTACATATATTCTGTTATATAATGTTCTGTGATAAAAACTCTACAGTTTGTAAAATATAAAATTATTTGAAAATTAATCTATTTTCAGTTATTTCTATCTTTTTACTTTCCTACCTATACTAGGCAATCGGGTAAATTTCTGATACGTGGTTTTCAACGGATGTATAAGAAAAGCACATTGCAAGTCCGAAAAACACATTTTGAGCCATTGGTCTGTCTGTCTGTCTGACTGTGCCAAGATTTTCTCAGGAACTACTGAACCGATTTTGTTGCTTTTTTTTTTTCTATTTTGTAGGGTTATTACTACTGATGCCTGTGACAGAAAATCGGTGCTCCATGCGCAATAACTTGCACGTAATAAATGAAAAACATGTTTTTCTGTAGACTGTAGCGCGAAAATGGCTCTAACGATTTTGATGAAACTTTCCTATAATGTTATCATTTTCATTTCAATTTGCGTATATAGACTAAATTCCCGAAAAAATTCAGAAAAAAAAGTTATAAAGAAAAGAAAAATGTTATTGGGCCTAACTCCCTAAGTGTATAATGAACGGTAAAATTTATGATAAAACTTTTGAAAGGTAATTAAATTACCAACAAAACAAAAAAAAATCATCGGAATCGAACCAGTATTAGCGATGATACAGCTTATTCTATTTGTTTACACATTTTTTAACTTATTACTTTCCTACTTACACACACGCACGCACGCACGCATGCACCCACGCACACACACACATAGTAAGAAAAGGCAAAATCTTGAGAAAAGATAAAATACCATAAATACGTAAACAAAATGAATGATTTTTGTGATAAAATTTAAGCAATAGAAAAACTAATAAAAACTAACTTAATACAAAATGCAATAATAGATACAGTGATTTAAATAATAATACGCAAACACAAAAATATATATATATATATAAAATAAAAATACAATCTTCTCAGGAATACTTATAGTTGTAATGGAAAAAAATAAAATATATTGGTATACAGAGGGACAAAAAGTATAACCTGGACTAATAAAAAACAAAAAAAAATAAAAAAAATAACAAAAGTAAGAAAAGAAAAGCATTTATTTAGATGTTAAAATATTAACAGTACACTAAATTAATAAAAATCTAGTGCGAGCATGAAACAACTTTCACTTACCGCCCTCTTAGCAAATACAGGTATTTTCAGAGAAAGGGGAAGTGGAAGTACAAATTATAGACGCTATATTTACATACATTTCATTTTGGGTATTTTTATTTGTTTAATTAACTTTATATATACAAATTTTAATTTTTATATCGCTTTAATCAATACAATTAAATATTAAATAATACCAATGATAGCATTTATGAAACACGCATATGTTTCGGCCACGCTCATATTTCTTTGGTTCCTTCATTTCAACTACTATCTGTTAAGATTTCTTATTTCTCCTTTAGTTAATTATCAAATTCTTTCATATTTTATATTCAATCATTTTTTAGCTCAATGTTAAATGGTTAATTATTTCAAATAAAATAAAAAACATTAAAGGTACTTTAGAGGAAGCTAATATTGAAAATTAGCCATTTAAGCACTTGTAGAGAACATCAATGGCAGTAAAACCTACATTTTATTAAAAATTACTTAATAATTCACTGATATATTGAGTTAAATCAAAATTGTTAAAGCCATTTTTGAGAAAATCATAAAAATGTGTTAAGTCGATTATATAAAGTGCCACTTCCGGTAAGCTGATTTTGACGAAAAAGTTGCTGTAACATCCAAGGTATATACAAACCTCAAATACGCCATTTCACTTTCATATGACTTTTCATTTTTGAGCTGCACTGTTCATATACATACACACACACACACACAGACCATTTTGTAGGATTTGGTTATTTGGACTCAGGAGACCTTAAAATATATATATTTCCATTGAAAACTCAGATTCGATAATTTTCATGATCGCAATATTTACCCTTTCTATATATTTCATATATAGATATACATAGATATACATAAGTGGAGGTAAAAATTTTAACAATATATACAGTAATTTAAATTTTAAAAATCTGGTGAGCGCAACACACAACTTTCACTTACTGCTCAACTTTAAATAGAAATTATTTTCTGGCCATGTTGGGCTATTATAAAATTTTTGAATTAAATTTTTAACTGAGCTAAAGCTAAAAAATTACAGCTAACAAATCATAAATACCATTAAAATAACAAAAGTCCTATTTATTTTATCACCGATTGATTATGGATTGCACAATTATTAGTTATTAAACTATTATTTTCCATTGCAAAGTTTACTAAAACAGAGTAAAGATATTTGCATTGTCTGTCATAGACAGGTCAAAAGCTGTCACACTAAAGTAGATACTGTTGGAATATCACAAAAGGAAATTTCATCAAACTATTCACTAATTTAATTTTCTAAAAGGTTAGATGATGATTTTTTGGAATAAACGGACAATAGATACCTGAATATTTAAATATAATATCAGATCTAGAGTTATTAAACTACAGTAAATATATTTAAGGTTATAAATATCTATGAAATATTTTTATATTTCACTTAAGTTCAATTAAATAGTAGTGAATACTGTTGGAATATCACAAAGGGGAGATTCATCGAATTATTCACTAATTTAATTTTCTAAAAAGTTAGATGACAACATATCAGAATAAACGGACGTTGAAACCTAATTATTTAAATATAATATCAGATCTAGAATTATTAAACTACAGCAGTAAATGTATTTAAGATTATAAACATATGCTTTATACATCCATGAAATGATTTTATATTTTACTTCTTCTTTCACACAAGTGCAATGAAATATTTTTTTAAACAATGTCATTGCCATGATTAGGTGGATTTTAAATACTTTTTCAAACTTAAAAATATTTTAAAAGTTTCCAGTTAGTTGGTAAATTTCATCCATGGTTATCAAAGCTCTAGAGGTTAATATTTAAACAAGTAATAACAAACCTCAAGAGCTATAAAAAAAGTTTTTATAAACAATTTCGATTTTCGGCAGAATACTAGGAAATTTAAGCTTTGTGTGTTTTTAAGTATTTTTATATTAAGATTTTTGATGAATAGGAAGTGATAACTAAAACATAATTTAATAAAATTAATTAAAAATTGATTCACTGTAAACAACACTACATTTACTTCAAAATGAAGTTGAGTTTGTCATTGTTAAAACCATTTAAAAACGACTTCTGGGGGAATAAACTAAGATAAGTTCTGTTTTTAAAAAATCATGAATTACTTGTGATTTTTATTATTTACCCTTCAACTATACTACAGACATCCCACTTTTAGATAAACTTTCTTTTTTACTAAGCTTTAAGTTCATATTAATTAAATTGTGGGTTTATTACGAAATGAGTTGAAATCCACCTCAAGTTGTGTAAGAAATGAGATATTTTGATATCCTGTCACCGTAAAGTACCCGTGTTTTGAACAAAAATTACTACAATAAATGACTGCAAAACTTTACTTTATTTTTCCCATTGCCTGGGATGTATTATCATAAACATTAATTAATAACATTATTTTTATTTTTATTTATTACAATGATATAGTTAAAAATAATGATTTTCGAATATTTATCATCTAAAGTGATAATATAACCGAGTTTTTTTCATTAACATCTCTGTTATAGAAATTGATCCGTATTTATAAGTGACTGACTAATTAAGCATCTCCAATTCTAATATATACAAGCAAAATAAAGAATCTTGTTGATAGCGGGAATTATTTTCACGAAATCATAAGTAATAGGATTAGAAACATTTAATTGATCACTTATAAATAAGGATCAATTTTTATAATACAGAACTTAATACAATACACAGTTTCATTACCAGTTTAAATAATAAATATTTGAAAAGTCATTATTTATAACATTTCTTTTTGTAATAAATAAAAAGTGTATTTACAAATTTATGTTTATATAATACATCCCAGGTAAAGGGTAACATGAAGCTTAATTTTATAATTTATTATAGTGAAAACACAGGTTCTTTAAGATGACAAAATATCAAAACACCTCATTTTTTACATAACTTGAGTTGGATTTCAACTTATTTCGTAATAAACATGCAACTTAATTAATATGTACTTAAAGCTTAGTAAAAAAGAAAGTTTATCTAAAAGTGGGGTGTCTGCAGTATAGTTGAAGGGTAAATAATAAAAATCGTAAGTAATTCATGATTTTTTAAAAACAGAATTTAGCTCAGTTTATTCGCTCAAAAGTTGTCTTTAAATGGTTTATCAATGACAAACGCAAATTTATTTTAGTGATTCATTTTTTAATTAATTATATTAAATTATATTTTGGTTATCGCTCCCTATTCATAAAAAAATCATGACTTACTTAAAAAAACACAAAAATTAAATTGCCTACTATTCTGCCAAAAATCAGACTATTGTTTATATGAAGTTTTTGATAGCTCTTGAGGTCTAATAATTACTTGTTTAAATATTTTCCTCTACCGAAAATGAAATGAAAAAAATGAAAATATTTTTCTTTTATTATCCTGGGACTGTTGTTCCTTCAGAATAAATTATAGATACAGTAAAAAAATGCCTGTGTGGCCATACATTGAACTAAATATTTACAAAATAATATCTCATTAAAATTAAAATATAGGAAGAAAAAAAAAATGAGTATAACCATTAATATAAAGTGCAACTTCTGGTTAACCAATTTTGAGTTAGAGAGTTGAACCAAGTTAAAGTTAGAATTAAACATTATTAAGTTTCTTCTGGTCAGAATGAATATTGCAATATCATAAAACCTTCAAGATACAACAGAGATAATTTTTTGAAAATCTCATGTAAGTTTTGTTAGTAGTTTTGTAGCAGTTACAAATGAAGGAACAGGCAGTCCTTTTACATAATAGTATGATTATACTCCCAAGTAGATATCAATCAAAATTAATAGAATCAATAACCCCTAAGAAATTAATAAATATAATCCGTTTACGGCCAAATCAACATCCCCCACAATTAGTCAAGTTATGCCTTTATCATTATAATTATTAAAATGTAAAGTTGGCTAAATTAAGATTACTCTAAAAAAAAATCAATGGAATAAGAAGGTAAAATAAAATAAATTTAAATTAAAAATCAACGTTACAGATTTTATCCAAAAATAAATAAACAAATTTGTTATAAAAAGAGATATGAACAATAGATGATAAGCAACAACAAAGTAAAAATAATTGATACTACTACAAAAAACTTAAAATAAATAAAATACCTGTATCAAAATATGTATCAGTCATAACTGATTCATATTTATGCTTGTCAGCCTTTTCATCAGTTTTCTTGGGAGTAGTTCCATTAGAAATTAATGAACTGTTTAACTAGAAATGAATATTATAACCATTAATTACAAAACCATTAAATAAATATTGGAGATAATGGTAATAAAAATATATTAAATAATGATACTAAACTAATAAAATAATTTCAGAAGAAGTTAATTGGGGATGCGGTCAAAAAATACTATTGCATATAATAGTATATTTATTTATATTAAATAATATAGTATTTTTTTCTTACTGCACCCCCGATTAACTTCTTCTAAAATTAGAATCTATGGTCAACCATCTCCATAATATTATAATAAAATAATGGTACTAATAAATAGTAGAAGTTGGTTGGGAGTGCGGTCAAAGATGAAAATAAACAAAAAGTAAATCATATTTACTTATTTTTAGTTAGTCCTTTCTTTGACTGAACACACCTACCAATGTGTCTTCAATATATCTATGATAGTCAACTATTAATTCACAATCATAAACACAAAAAGGCTTTTAATAGAGAGATTATTCTATTAATGTCAACCAATATCCACATTATTTTAAATAAAAAAATCCTTTGATTTATTTAGAACATTCAAAACTTTGTTATTTATTTATGGATTAAAAATATTTAACAATTAAAGTTCCCCAGGGAGCAGTCAATGTTGAGATGTCTGAATCCCTAAAGGGTTTATGTGTCAGCCATCTGGACAACTACTAACCCTACATGATTTCAGACAGTTGTATTTCACAAAGGGAAAATTCTTCAAATTATTCACTAATTTAATTTTCTAAAAGGTGACTTGATGATTTTTTGGGATAAACGGCCGATAGATACCAAATTATTTAAATATAATATCATATCTAGAGTTATTAAACTACAGTATTTAAGGTTATAAACATATCCATGAAATAATTTTATATTTCACTTCTTCTTTCACATAAGTACAATGAAATAGTATTTTAAACAATAGCATTGGCTTGATTCGGTCGATTTTAAATACTTTTTTTTTCAAACTTAGAAAAACATTTAAAAGTTTACATTAAGTAAGATAATTTTATTTAATTTCCTTGGAAACATGTGATTTACGTTTAATAATAATAATGTTAGTTTTCTGAAATTATTATTTATATTTTTTTCGTCACTCTCCGTTACATTCTACAAATTTATTTATTTGATGTTATTTTGTTTTAAAATCCTCTACTTTTCAACGGTATATTATACATATACCTTCTAACTGTTATTTCTGGAGATTCATTTTCAACCTGGATAAGCATTTTTATTTTTTTCTCTAGTTTCCAATTATCATATTATTTCAAACTTTATATTTAGCAATTTTTTATAGTTACTGTTAATAAAAGAGAGTTCATTTTTTTAAATAAACCATATTAAAGTTACTTTAGAGGAAGACGTATACGAACATTGGACATTTAAACTCTGTAAAGTGACATCAATGGGGATAAGATATAATTATATTAAAGACCGCTTAATTATACAAAGATGCACCAAGTTTAATCAAAATCGTTGGAGCCGTTTTTGAGAAAATTGTAAAAATGTGATATAAAGTAGCACTTCTGGTTAGCCAATTTTAAGGAAAAAGTTGCTATCTAAGGTATCTTAATCTATCTTTAAAATGTAATATCAGTTTCGTACGACTTTTTGTTTTTGAGCTAGACTGTTCACATATACACAGACCATTTTGCGAGACTAGGTTATTTGGACTCAGGGGACCTCAAAACATGTATTTCTGTTGAAAACTCACATTCAAAAATTTTCACGATTTCAATACTTACCCTTACTATGTATTACATACAATAGGTAAGTGAGTGGGCGGGGTGGCTGAATGGGCTAACTCGTGTGCACAGCACCACCGTTGCCCGGCAACCTGATATATGAGAAGTGATATCAAAATAGTCACGAGTTCGCTTCCCGGTGCCGAGAGTCTTTTAAATACCCACCCACATCCTTTGGCCTGGGAAAATCCCGTATAGCCTTAACGGCGAGAAAGGAGAGGACGAAAAAAAAAATAAAAATAATAGGTAAGTGAAAGTAAAAAAGTAATTTTAATACAGTAAGTTAAAATTGGTAACAAACTAGGTAGATAAGTAATTACTAAATACCAGAAAGAAGAAGATAGATTCACTTAACCGTGAAGGTATTATAACAAAGCCAAGTTAAGATTAAAAAGAAGAAATGTATTGAAAGATGTGGTGAACAGACAAGTAGGTATGAACAGACTGGTATGAATAGACAAGTAGGTGGAAAGGTAAACAATTGAAAAAAAAAAGGGTTTGTAAAGAAAATGAACATGTGATAAAGAAGTGAAATCACCTATTTGACAGAAAAGGCTTCCATGTGAAACCACCACTGGGATAGCGTATCAGATGTTTGGGGGCATGAAGGAGTAAGAATGGGTAGTACTTATACTATAGGAAAATAAAGAATAAACAAATGAATGAATTAATATTTAGGACAAATTACTAATATCTAAACAATAATAGATTCTAAGGTGATATAAATTTAAATTTGAGGTCGGATTATTGACTATAATAGGCAAGTAAATAGCACCATGAGCAGGGCCGTCACCTGAGTTTTTGGTGCTAGGGGCGAAATTATATTAGGTACCTCTCCCCTCATATTCCTTGAACTCGGTAAGCAGTATACTGTCTCCTGTTTACAGGTTATATTTATTTTATTTAACTATAATTTTGCACTTTCGTTCACGACTGGTAAATTTCTGGTCGGCTGATTGTAATTTATCTAACAACAGCAAGTGGAGCTGAGGTTAGAAACTATTATTTTGCTAGTCATGTATGGTGATCTAAGCAAACGTTCAAAGGAATGAATTAAAAAGTAGAAAGTGGATAGAAATAAGACTTTTCAAAAGTATTATGCATTCTTCACATTTTTGTATTTGACCTGTGGTGTCCCCTAGGCCACAGCGTCCCAGGGCGACTGATGTGGTCTCCCTGACCATGAGTGTGTAATCACAGTTTGTCTATGAACGTGTAATCATATCTATGCATCAGTAAGGCAGTAAATCAGTAATTCAAGTTATAAGTAAAATAAGGTAATAAAAATATGTGTAACAGAATTACAAGTTTAATTGAAGTAATTTCAGAGATACAGGTAAAGACTAACTATAATATGAAAAAATCTGGTGTGTCCACTCACACGACTTTCCTATCTATTTCAGAAAAGTTTTTATATCTTTACATATATGCAACCTTCAGAGTTGCATGAAGCGTTTGCCAAAATTCAAGAAGACTTAAATCGGATCAGTGCCTGGGCAAACTTAAATAGATTAAGATTAAACGCTGCAAAAACTCAAGCCATTGTCATTGGTTTCAAACCCCTTCTCAGAGCCAATACCAACATACCTATCCTGTACCTAAATGACCATCCCATTACCTTCACCTCCTCAGTAAAAAACCTAGGCATTTTCATAGACCAAACCTTCTCCTGGAAACACCATATTGCTCAAATTTCCCGACGGTCAATTGGTACCTTGAAACTATTCCATCGCTTCCGCCATCTCCTACCCATCCCCACACGTAGACTCCTAGTAACTTCCCTCATCTTCCCTCACCTTGATTACGACTGCGTGGTGTACGGTGGCCTCTCGGCAGTACTCGGGGAGAGACTGAAAAGAATTATGAATGCCTTCGCAAGATTTGTCACAGGGACCCTGAGGTATTCCTGTGTTTCACACCACTATGCTGAATTAGGATGGCTCTTCCCTTCCTTCCGAAGACAATATTTCCTAGGCACATTCCTTTACCAAATAATCAATAGTCATTGTCCGTCCTCCGCATACAATCTCCTACAATTCAAATCATCTATCCACACCCTCTCCACAAGATCTCGTCCTTCTGACCTTTACACCCCTTTCCACAGATCTGCATCATTTAAACATTCCTTCGTTGTCAGTTGCACTGCATTCTGGAATTCCATCCAACTAAAAATCCGCCATGCATCATCCTTATCCACCTTTAAAATCCTCTTATTCCAATTCCTCTTCACAATCCAATCAGACGCTGGTTAAATCCATACTATGTTATAAGGCTTTAATTTTCTTTAGACATCATTTTTTTTCTCTTATTTTTTATTGTTTTATTGTCCAATATTGTAGAACTGAACCCCTATTACCCAACTGTTCTCGTTAATTTATCCTAAGAGCTTAATTAATACTTAATTTATTACTAGTATTTTGTTATTATTCATTGTAATAAGTCTTTTGGCCAGATTTATGGTTAATTTATATGAACAATACTGTTATTCTAAAGGGACCTAGTCCCAGAATAAAGATGATTTTTCTATTTCTATTTCTATATCCATCAAGAAACAGAAAAAAAAAAAATTGTATTAGATATATTTCCCTGAAAATTGATCAAAGAAAAGATTTGAGTACAATTTATTTGATAAACTAAAGCAATGTAAACCGGCTTAAGGTAGATCAGTGTAAACATTTCAGTAACCCCTAATATTACTGATCAAAAACTTTTTGCCATAGCTTAATTTTGTCAAACAATAATTTCTGTTAAAAGTAGAAGAAATAGTGGAGCTTGTGTGATACGGGCAACATATTTTCTTACTTTCACTTAGTCATCTTTTTTCCCTCATTCACCCCTTTCTGACACCAGGATATGAATCCGTAATCTTACATTGGAAATTGAATAGTTGTAACTTCCTTAATAGTTGTCCAAAATGAACGATTTTTATTTGGCTTTGTGGAGAATTTCATTACATTTCAAACGACAGGCTAAACAGCGTTTTTTCGGATTCAGAGGGCTCTGAAATGTATAGATCCGTCTAAAACCGCATATCGGAAATTTGACCAGATCGCAATACTTTCCTTACCTAGTATAGGTAGGAAAGTAATAAATTAAAACATGTGTAGAAAATAGAATAAGCTGTATCATCGCTAATAACAATAATAACCGCTAATCGATTCTGATGATTTTTTTTTTTCGTTTTGTTGGTAATTTAATTACTTTTCAAAATTTGTATTATAATTTTTACCATATAATATATACTTAGCGACTTAGGCCCCAAAACACTTTTCTTTATAACTTTTTTCCTGAATTTTCTCGGGAATTTAGATCATATAGAAAAATTGAAAGGACAATTATAAGAAAGTTTCATCAAAATAGTTAAGAGCCGTTTTTGCACTACAGACTATATTTTTTTCATATAACATATAGACTGTAGCGTTCATAAAACTTGTTTTTCATTTATTGCGCATGGAGCACCCAATTTCTGTCACAGGCATCAGTAGTCAAAACTTTACAAGATAAAAAAAGAAGCAATAAAATCGGTTCAGTAGTTCCCGAGAAAATCTTGGCACAGACAGACAGACCAATGGCTAAAAATGTGTTTTTCTAAATTAGGGGGCTCTGAAACGTTTAGATCCGTCTAAATCCGCATATTGGAAATTTGACCTAATTGCAATACTTTCCTTACCTAGTATAGGCAGGAACGTAAAAACATGGTGTGGTGGGGCATCACACAACATTCACTTGCCATCCACTTCTTTGTAGAAATAAGTATTTTCAGGCAAAGGGAAGTGAAAATAAAAATTATAGACAATATGAAACATTATTTAAAACAATTAATTAATACATGTTTTCCATAGCCGTCTAATGTATTATATTTATTTTGTATGACACTAGCTATTTTCTTTTACAACTGTATATTTCAATTATCTATTTGATTTTAATAAATAATTAAGTGCCACAAAAAATGTTTAGTACGACAAGAGTGCCACTGATAAAGAAGATTGCTATATTTATTTATATGTTAATAAATTGTGGGTATTTTTATTTGTTTAAGTACTGGTATATGTATAAATTTTAATGTTTATATCGCTGTAGTCTATAAAATTAAATATTAAATAATACAATTACAAACGATAGCATTTATGAAAACCGCATATGTTTATGTATATATTTTCATATTCCATATTACATTAAGATCTTGTTAAGTATGGAAGCCTGTTACTATCTTTCAGGCAAGCTCGCATTCTTTTGGTCCCTCTATTACAACTATTTTCATAACGATCTCTTATTCATCCTTTAATTAATAATCAAATTCTTTCATATTATATATTTTTTATATAATTAAACAATTATATATTTACCATATTTAACAATTTTTTTTATGTCAGAGTTAATTGTGAAATGGTTAATAATTTCAAATAAAAAAAATCACATGACTTTTACGTATGACTCTCCCTCTTCTTAGCAGAAATAATTATTTTTAGATAAAGGGGAAGTTAAAGTAAAAATTATAGATGGTATGTATATTTATTTAAATTTCATTGTAGGTATTTTTATTGTTTAATTAGCCTTATATACACAAATTTTAATTTTTATATCGCTGTAATCTATACTATTAAATATTAAATAATACCAATGATAGCATTTATGAAAAATGCATATGTATATATACATAATATTTTCAGAGTCCGTATGATATTAAGCTTATGTTACGTATGGAAGCCTGTTCTGATCTTTCGGACGAGCTTGTATTTCTTTGGTTCCTCAATTACAACTATTATATTATATTTTCAGAGTCGGTATTATAGTCGGTATTATGTATATTATATTTTCAGAGTCCGTATTATATTAAGCTCATATTACATATGGAAGCCTGTCTAATCTTTCGGGCAAGTTCGGATTTCTTTGGTTCCTCCATTACAACTATTATCCGATACAATCTCTTATTTCTCCTTTAGTTAATCATCAAATTCTTTCATATTTTATATTTAACTATTTTTGATATCAAAGATTAATGTGAAATGGTTAATTATTTCAAATAAAAAAAATTAAAAGTACTTTAGAGGAAGCTAATATTGAAAACTAACCATTTAAGCTCTGTTAGAGAACATCAATGAGAATAAAACCTACATTATATTAAAGACTGAATTTTCTTAGCAAGAGAGGAACTTTTAGATTTGAACTGTCAATGCTGGAGACATAACAGAATTTACACGTACTTTCTAATATGAATGTGTAATATGAATACCCCTTAAGACACCTATCATTTCTTTGCCATTTGTCCGATCCTAATAGATATAAGGCTTTCAACACTCAAAAACCACTCTCACGAGAGGAAATGATAGAACTCCTTAACAGTAAAAATTGGTCCTCACTTTATAAATATATAGTACAAGCCTTAAAGTATAGGAAATACTTAGGCGAACAATTTCATTTCTTGCTTTTCACATAAAGTGCACCTCAGCCTCAAGAAGGCCTATTGTGAATCATCCTAGAATCAATTAAAACAGGTCAGATGCCTTTGCGAACCTGTTAATACTAATAGGATCAATCAATATGCAATGCTTATGGTCAGTGATACGTTCACATCCAAAATGAAAGTATCTAAATGAAAGTCTAGCCAAATTATCACATCTACAAATAATAGGCCGTTTCATTCTCCAGGCCACACAACTTGCAGGTGGAGGTCTCACTTATACCCAAATTAAAAAGGTGCTTATTTAATTGACAGTGAACAGTGAACAATCCTTTCACAAGCCTAATGGTACTCCTGTCTATTAGAAAAAGTGATTTAATTCTCTTGTGACAGGGCCCTAAGGTAGTTGAACAATTTAATTTTAATTGAACCCCGGTTCTCTATGTATATAATAGGTCATCTGGCCAGATTTATTGGTTTAAACAATATTGTTATTCTCTTGTTAATATTATTATTCAATATTGTTATATAAGGGACCTAGTCCCAGAATAAAGATGAATTTCTATTTCTATAAATATGTAATTTATTACTTTATATTTTATTTATTTATTGGCTATAATTTTAAATAGTGTATCAAGTATGAATGGTATAAATCTAAACACTTTGCAATTGATTTATTGTTGTTTGTTATTGTCATTCAGTAGTAGTTGGCATTATTGTAAAGCTATATGTTTTCTTAATTTTATTTGTATAATTATAATTATTATGTAATGTATTTATAACTTGGAAAACAAAAATAATTAGTATAATTAAACATGAAAGGCGACGATCCGACAAACAGATCATAGTCCATGTAAAAAAAAAAAAAAAAAAATAGAGAGATTAACAAAGAAAATTTTTATTTATTTTAGAAACATTTGAAAGATAGATCTTTATTATGTTACTTTGAATAATAATAAACCTTCTTCATTAAGAACTGCTTAATAATACCCCTATATACCGAGTTTAATCAAAATCGTTAGAAGCTGTTTTTGAGAAAATCGTAAAGATGTGTTAAATTGACGATATAAAGTACTACTTTCGGTTTGCCAATTTTGACAAAAATGTCACTGTAACATCCCAGACTTATAAAAACCCAAATACGCAATTTTAGTTTTGTACGACTTTTCGTTCTTGAGCTAGGCCATTCACATAAATACACACATACAGACAAAGATCATTTTGTGAGACTTAGTTGTTTGAATTCAGTGACCTCGAAACTTTTATTTCTGTTGAAAATTCTGATTAAAAAATTTTCACGACTGCAATACTCACCCTTAATATATATTACGTATATAGTAAGTGAAAGTAAAAAGAATTGAGAGGAAGTCACAATAAATTTTGACTCTTTCTTAGTACTCAAATAAGTTACAAGAAAAATAATAGAGTTTCGTTTTCAAAAGGTTAAAGTATAAAAAAAAAAAAAATCTGTACATTAATTTTTACCTTTGGTTGTGACCAAATCCAAGATCTGTCAACATCTGGATTATCTAAAGAATTAGCTACTCCTGACAGTTTGGGGATGCACTTAAGTTGGTTTCCATCAAAAAGGCTTCACAAAAAAACAATAGAAATATAAATGAAAAAAAGAAAAGAAAAAATACTACATAATTATATATAATGTATAATTACGAATTGTAAGATGGTTCACTTTTAAAACTGTTTCTCTCATTATCATATTGTGAATTTCCATTGTGACTCTTTGAATCTGTAATTAAAAAGTAATTATTAAATTTCTTTATCATGTGCACACACATGTAAATATATACTTAATTGTTTAATTATTGCCTAGACCTATAAGTGTGATTGGTATTGAACATAGGAGAAGGTGCATCATAACTCTAATTAATAAAACTTAAAACTTACTAAAACAATTAGTATCTTTTTTTAGTGTACCAGCTCTCTGGGGATAACTAACTCCTATTTGGTTACCAAACATTATTTCACCATTCATTCTTTTATAAGCTCTAGAATCAAACAAATAAATCTATTAAAAACGAATTACAAATTATATAAGTAAGTTGATACCATAACAATATAAATTAAGTAAAAAGAAAAAGTAACTCATATTGTAATAAATTATTAAGTTATTAAATCAAAAGTAATAACTTTTAAATTGACGTATATCCATATATTATTATTCTACTTTATGTTATCATTAAATGTTAAAACGTAGGTAACATACCTTTGATATAAATTATAACCAAATTGGGATAACATAATAATAATTACACTTTTAAAAATAATTCATATTATTTTGAAAATATTTTAGCACATTGATGTTCCATCAGACAAACAACTGCAACTGAATGAGTTTTAGGAAGATCAAAGGTCCTTTAGATATTGAGTTAACATAAATAAAGGCTTTAATTTTTAGGATAGATATCTCCCATCTTTAACTTTAGTCAGGTAAAGCTTATAATATGTATTTAGTCATTTTTACAATTGATTATATCAATGACATGATTTTTTAAGGACACTACTAAACAGCAAGCATACAAGGACTGTATATTAACATATGGCTAACTTTTTTGTTTATAAGTAAAACTGTGAGCTGATAGTAGGCATAAAAAAAAAAAATTAATCCTAAATTAAAAAAAAAAAAATTCAAAACATACCTTACAGCTAAATCAAAAGATGGAAATCTTACTACTGCCATACATCCTGATATAAATGTTATTCGCCCACCACAATTACATGACATAAATTTGAGTTTTTCTTTTAATTTCCCAACTGGAAATCCTTTAGGAAGGTTCCATATCATTACTTCCATTGGTGAGTTCTTCCAACTCTTAAAAAAAAAGATACAAAGTTTGTAATGTAATAATAGTTTAAGTATATTATACATATTTTTCAATTAATTCCAGAAAAACAAAATTTCTAAAAATGTTTGGAGTTAGTTCTTTTCAAAGAAGTTACATCATTAACAGAATATTAATAAATATTTTTTGAAAAATATCTACAGCCAGAAGCATGAAAGAAATAATTAATACAGATAGGAAATTCTGATTCAAAATACAAATAAAACACTACAATAAAAACAATTTTACATGTACTTTTTTCATTTTAAATTTTAGTATAAGAAAATTATATAAATTTAACTAAACACATTATTCTTCTTGTGGATTTTCCATAGTTAGCTAAAAATAACATTTAATAATTTTATATTCAAACAGAAAATATTTAAAATATATATAATTATAAGTTTTAATAGCTCCCTATAAGAATATTAATATGAATAAAAAACCAACATGTAAAACATAAATTATAACCCAATCATTTTGAAATACGTAAATTAAACATCGTTCTGAAATGAATGAGTTTATTAGATAAACTAGAGAAAAAATTACGACATAGCAATAAATATCAAATAAATATGAAACCAAAATAATGATTAAAATTTGCAATGTAGAATGATATATTTACTTAGCAATTATAATTTGTTCGGAAAATATAAAAGTCTCTAATTGTATACAAGTTTTTGAAATAAAATGAAAATATGTTCCTTAAGAACTATACATTAAAGTATATTGTGTCCACTCACACGACTACACTTAACATTTTGAGAGTTAAGTCTAACATAAAAATTATCTTCCCTAATATTGCCACAATTAAGATGGTATTTACTTTATGTATATATATTTATTAATCTCATTTTTAAATACAAGTTGGGCTAATTTATGAAAAGTTAATTAACCAATAATTAACAAATTTTAGATCCATTATTACATTCAAAAAGTGGGTTTTCTGATGAAATATTTGTAACAAATGCGGTGTGTAATAAAATTTTTGAAAATATTGCTGATCCGAGTTGTTAAGTGGGTATCTACATATGTATATGAATAGGAAAGAAAAAATACCACAAAGAAAAACTTCACTGAAAGAAAATAAATTTCTGTCTACTGAGCGGATATTAACAAATAGTTTTACAAACATTTATCTAATAATAAAGATAATAATGATGTGCATAAAGAAATATTTGAAAATAGCCAAGAAGTCAGAAACAAAATAAAAGTTTATCTAATATTGGTAAAGAAATTTTAATTTGTTAATGAATTATTTAGGTTGAAAAAATGGGTCCAAAATTTGATAATTATTGGTTAATATAAAAAGATTTTTACGCAACTTAAGGAGAATCTCTACTTTTTCATAATAAACCTCAACTTAATTAATATGGACTCAAAGGTTATAAAACAAGAAAGTTATTTAAAAGTAGAGTGTATGCAGTATATTCGGACAGTGATAAAAAATAAAAAATCATAAATAATTCATGTTTTTTTTTTTAAAACAGAACATAGCTTGGGTCTTGTCTCCTTGTCCAAAAGTCCTCTTTAAATGGTTTTAACAATGACAAACTCTTTCATTTGAAGTAAATGTTTCCTGGTTTACTGTAAAGCAAATGTTAATTGATTTAATTCAATATTGCATTAGATAACACTCTCTATTCAACTAAAAATGTGACTAACTAAATAAAACTCAACTTAAATTTTATACTTTTCTGCAGAGAATCATACCATTGTTTATAAAAACATTTTTATAGCTCTTGAGGTCTGCTATCACCTCTTTAAATATTTCCCTCTACTTACGGCACACATTTATTAATAGGGTGACCCGTACATAGAAGGAAATTTTGATAGGGGTGATAGCAGATCTTAACAGCAACAAAGAAGTACATATGAGGTAGTGCGGATACGAAGGGCTAACTCGACACTTGATCAAAACAATTTTTTTAGTCCTATTGTAGTGACAGTTAACATAAATTGAAGGATAAAATGTATTGTAATTTAATCATTATCTCATTTAATAAGTGACGGTTAATTGAAGTTTTACTGTACTACGACACGTTGAGTTCGCCCCATGTGTAAAAAATTTAACTGGGGTTTTTTAATTATTCGGGTTTCTTGAGTTCGCCCTTCGTATCCGCAATGCTTCATATAAACAATGGGCCAATTTTCAGTAGAAAAGTAGGAAATCCAAATTTTTTGTTGAATAGGAAGCGATCACTAAAGAAATATTTAATTTAAGTAATGAACAATTGCTGCACTGTAAACTAGACAAGATTTTCTATAAATCAAAATAGAATATGCCACTGCTAAAACTACCTAGTCCTGTCATAAATATTGTTACAAGGACATATATACAGATTTCAACAGAAAAATTATAGTTTTAAAAAGCATTATTATAAAATAAAATATATATCTATAGGGAGTAAAACAAAAAAGAAATTACTCAAAATGTCTCTCTTTTGCCTTGACACAGGCATTTAATCTCCGTGGCCGGTCTTGAATAGCAGCACACAGCACTTCTTGAGGAAAGCGCTCACTGCTCGGAATGGAGATTGTTTGAGGCTTTCCAAATCCGGGTGTGCTCTGTGGCATGCCATCCTCTCCAGTTCGGACCAAAGCTGATAATTTAGTGGGTTGAGATCAGGACTTCCTGAGGGCCAATCCGAGGCAAAGATGAACTCTGAAATTTTCTTTTGCAGCGACTGCTGAGTTGACCTGGGCTTGTGAGCTGGAGCAGAATTCTGCTGAAAAACTCAATGACTTCCAGTAAACAGAGTATCATTTAGAGGCTTGACAAGAGATTCCAAAATATCTGATAGTTTTTAGCAGCTGTTTTATTTTTACTCCTTTTTCACAAAAATGGAGCTTTATGGTGCCATAAAAGCAAACTCTCCACTAAATTATTACTGAGGAAGGGTGATGACCTCTTTCCACTCTTCCGATGACTTCCTGAGCTTCTTTAGAGCTGTGTGTGTATACACAATCATTATGGTGAATACATTTTTCTTCAATTGTAAAAATTTTCTCATTGCTAAACAAAATCTTTCAATGAAGACCATTGGTGTAAGGGCCAAGGAACATTTTGTATTCATCCACTCTGATTTTTTTTTAGCGAAGTGGGCAATCTTTGTCTAGTCATTCTTCGAAATGCTCCCATCCTAAGGTCACTTTTTATTATGCGAGACATTGATCTAACAGAGATTCCCATTTCTCATTATAACTATTTATAGTGAGGTACACAAACATACAGCAGATACCCAAAGGTTTCAAAGTATTGAAAATCCCTGACCAATATTTTCCAAATTTGTGTAAGGCGATCACAGCTATTTAATTCTCTTTATCACCCCACTCCATGTTAACTGAGCAAATGAAAAATACAAACTAATTGGGATTATTATCCTGATATGTAAAGGAAATAACCTGATAGAGATGAGGATTATCTAAATAATACCCAAGGATGTAAACAAAGTTCAACTTTTGTAACAGTATTTATGGCAGAACCAGGTATTTAAAGAGGACTTTTGAGCGGCTAGACTAAGCTAAGTTCTGTTTTAAAAAAATCATAAGTTAGTCGCAATTTTTTCTATCAGTATCAGACTACTCTACAGATACTCCAATTTTAGCAAAACTTCTTATTTTAATAAGCTTGAAGTCCATATTAATTAATTAGAGGAGTTCATATTAATTTATTAGGAGAAAACTAGAGATTCACCTCAAGTTGTGTAAAAAAAAATGATGTGATTTTTTATCCTGTCAAGTAAAAGTCTACACCTGTTTTCTCCACAAATGACAAAAATTGTTGTTGCAAAGCTTTTAATTCTTGTTTTTCCATGATCTGGGGTGTATTATAATAAACATAATTGCCTAAATACACTTCAATATGATACATGACATTTTCAACCAGATGTGTATTACAGGAATTAATCCGTATTTATAAAATTTATAAAAAAGACAAAATAAATATTTCAATTCCAACAATTTATGCTTAAAATATATAAACCTGCTTATTGTTTCAATTATTTTCATGAAAACGTTAATATTAGTATCAGGAACATTGATTTTGCCACTTATAAATAAGGACCAATCCCTATAATACCTGGGTGAAAAAAACAGTTTCATAACCACTTTAACAGACAAAAATTTTAGAAGTCAGTATTTTCGAGTTTACCTTTTTTATAAATAAAAAGTGTACTTAGGCAATTATGTTTATTACGATACATCCTAGGTCATGAAAAACCAAGAAATAAAAGCTTTGCAACAATCAATTGTAATCATTTTTGCTGAAGACAGGGGTGCATTTACTTGACAGGATAAAATTCACATAATTTTTTTACACAACTTGAGAAGATTCTCAAGTTTTCCCAAATAAACTTCTAATTAATTAATACGTGCTTAAAGCTTATTAAACGAAGAAGTTTTTCTAAGAGTAGGGTATCTGTAGTATAGTCGTTTGATAAAAAAAATCGTGAATAATTTATGATATTTTTAAAAACAGAACTTAACTTAGTTTAGCTGCTCAAAAGTCATATTTAAATGGTTTTAGTAGACATATTATTTTTTTATTTAAAACAAAATTTGTCTAGTTTACAATGAAGCAATTGTTAATTACTTAAATTAAGTATTTCTACGGTTATCGCTTCCTTCCTATTGAACAAAAACCATGACTTACTTAAAAAAACACCAAATTTGGATTTTCTACTTTTCTGCTGAAAATTGGCCTGTTGTTGCTTATATGAACTTTTTTTGTAGCTTTTGAGATTTGCTATCACTCCTATAAAAATTTCCCTCTAATCACGGAACACCCTGTATAAAAAATCTTACACAGAGATAGATTCGTTTTTTTTATCACAAGTACTAAAAATTGAAGAACTGTAGATACCTAATGAGCTCATTTGACTTAAACTTGAAAGATAATTACATTAAAATAAAATGAAATCTGACTAACCTTTGTTGCACATCTCGGTGGCAAAGGGAGAACAAACTGATCAAAATTATAATGTTCATGAGCACATAACAAAAGTGGAAAAGAACAGGCAGTACTGTACAATAGAATAATATGAAGTTTTTTCCTGAAATCAAATGAAAAAATCTAGATAATGTGTGTGTGTATATATATATATATATATATATATATATATATATATAAATATATACTACATGTACATATACAAATATACGTGTATACATATATAACTTAAGATATGGATTATAGTCTAGTCGGATAATAGGTCATGTAATTTTTTAAAGTTTCAATCCCTGTTTTTTTAAAACATAAATAATGGGATCGATCCTCTTCAGTTCTGGAAAAACAATTCCTATCATTGGTACAACAATCAAAAGTTTTCATAAATTTCAACAATAAAACCAAATTTTTCTTACTTTTAATTGAGCATCGATAATCCAAGCCAGGCAGCACGCTGACAGACCCAACAGTACCGCCATAAGGACATGAAGCTACTGAGGACCGCAACGCGCACCCTGATCCTGGAGTCCGAGAATAATACCAATACCACCAATAATAGTCCACATAACTATCTCTGTTTGGTTATAATTAAAATTACCAAATTAAAACATTAAAATTGCTGAAGTAATGAATTAAAACAATCTTACATGTACGTCAAATGCTAAAATTTAAAATATATTACAATAGAATAAAGTATAAAGAGCCAGTCCTTACATATAAAATTACAGTAATGAATCAAATTAATATGGTTCCTACTTCTGTCCATTATCTATTGCTACCACTAAAATTTATATATATATATATATATATATATATATATATATATATATATTATATATATATATATATATATATATATATATACACACACATAACACACATAAACATAATCAACGCTCCGGCCAATCTATATTGATTCCAGTACATTATTATAGGCGTAATTTAACTTGGCTAAATCATTGACCTATTATCTGACTATAATTCATATCTTAAGTTATAATATATAAAGGTTGTATCATAATAAAACATTGTAATATTATATATATAAAGAAACTTCTACTAGTAAAGTTTCTTTACCTTACTTAAAAAATGGTAAATTGATTTAGAATTAGTTTAATCTTGTTTTCAAGCATAATATTATATAAAAATTTTAATAGTTCTTATTTAAAGTTTATACTAGAAGAGTGATTTCTTTCTTTGGTGTTCCTTTTGTTATGTAGAGGCATATAGATGCAAGTTCTAGACTTTCTTCAATTCAATGAAACCTGTAGACTCTTTTGGCAGATCATTACTTTTCTTGAAGATGTCACTCCTGAACTCCTAGCTGGCTGTTAATAGACTGATGCTCCAATATTGTGTCTAGCCGGTCAACTGCTTAGTAGTTTGATTAATCATAAAGATAATGTTTTGAGGTTAATTGAGTCCAAAAAAACAGTTTTCAAGAATTGTGTGTCTGTGTACGAACATATATGTGTGCTTCAGTGTGAACAGTATTGCTTGAAAAACAAACATTCTAATGAAACTGAAATTACGTATTTAGAGTATATGTATTATGTCTTGGAGGTCACAGGAAAATATATATATATATATATATATATATATATATATATATATATATATATATTATATATATATTATATATATATTATATATTATATATAATATTATATTATATTATAATATTATATTATAATAATTATATATTATATATTATATTGTATATATATATTATATATATATATATATATATATATATATATATATATATATATATATATATATATATATATATATATATTTCAGGATATTAAGAATTAAACAATGATTTCTGGCTAAGTTAGCACAAGAATATGGTGTGCTATACGTTGATTCCTATCGTTATAGGTTGAGCTTTTAGGATACTATTGAACCTAATTTGGTATGCAAACATGTTTTCCTCCCAGCATAAAGGGATCTATATTAAGCCACCTTTTCCTGAAATAGGATTCAATCATAGTTTTGTTTAGATTAATACTTAGTCCCCATTTCCATGTAAATATTAAGGGTTTTTCCATATATTCTATTAATATGGATTAATATTTGCCTTTTATAATTATAAATAGATCTTCAGCATACCCTATAATTTCATAAGCTTCATTGGTAAGTTTAAGAGGCCATCGGCCACTATGGTGCACAGAACAGTTGATAGATCACCACCCTATTTTTAACTATGCCTCTTCATAGAAGCTGTTATGCTTCTATTAATAAGCATTTCTTTGATCCAAGAAAGCTAACTGAATTAGCTCCTGTTCTCCTGATAGTCTTTTCTATAGCATCATGTGGACCCTCTATTTACATGAATACACATAGTGTGGTTTCTTAATTATTTATTGAATTTTCTATCTTTGATCAAGACAATGCAATGTTGAAATTGTTATCTCTTCAGCCTGGTATGACACCTGATATGGATGGAGAGGTGAATTTTTTATCACATCCATAACCTTTTCCACTATCTTGAGTATCACGGATGAGAAACTTATTGGTCTATACAACTTTGGATTATCTTTTGGTTGATTACCAATTTTTGGGATATAAGCTATAATGTAACTTGGCCTGAATACCTTTATTAAGACGGACCAGATTTCTTTTCTCATATATCAGATGGGCATAGATTACTCCCTGGGGGCGGGGCCAAGCTGGCTAACGCATCTGCTCAGCACCATGCGTTGTCCGGCAACCTGATAACCGATGTTAGAGATAGAGAAATAATTACGGATTCAAATCCCAGTGGGACTTTTAACACATAATTCCTCCCTTCCTCCCAAAAAAACGCCGTGTAGCCTAAAAGGCAAGGAAGGGGAAGAAAAAAAAAGTTACTTCCTGAATTAAGTTATTGCCCATCTGTTCTACTGGGGATTAACTTTATAGGTTGTGGATCTTGACTTTTCTGTCTCAAAAATACATTGAGGAAAATGAATTCAACAACACTTTCAGTGTTTCCTTTTGGTCCTCAATGTAGGTACAACCAGGTCATTCTTTTTTCTTTTTGTTAATCTTTTTATGCTGAGGTTTTGATGGCAAATCATGTTAAAGCATAAACTTTATCATTCTCGAGTCTAGTGATGCCTGTTCAAATCCGGCCTGGGCAGAGAGACTCCCGAAATAAATCTCAAACTTCTCACTCTGGTTAAAATAGGTTTGGTTGTATCTCCAGAATAATCCTCACATGTGCTATATATAAATGGCAAGGTTGGGGGAAAAAAGTTTTTTTTTTTTTTAATTTCCTAATTTCTTTATTATATTCATTTAGGGCTTGCTTCTACCCACTCAACAAACCTTGCCCCTTACCTTTATTAAAGTTTTCTTACATTTTTCTTGATGTTATTTAGTGTTTTGTTCCACTAAGGTACTTCCTTTTTAATCTTCTTTGCTCTTATGGACTAACTCTCTTGATAGGACCTCTGAATTACATTATGTACCACAGTTGCTACCTCTTCTAAGAAACCAATAGTTTTGTTTGGGTTCTTATCCAGCCCTTAAATCTGAGGGTAATTGTTCCTCGACAATTTCTAATCTGTAACTTTTGATATTCCTATTCTTTGTACTTACATCTCACCAATCTCTACGTTTAATCTGACAAGTTGATGATCAGAAAGAGAGGTTTCTGAAGAGAAATGCCAATTTTTGATGCACTCTTTGAACATGGGTTTTGCTAAAATTGAATCCAGAATCTCTAGTCTATTTTTAATTAGAAATAGAGACCATTTTATTGCACATTTTGTTTGCTTGCTTGTAAGAACTTCAAACCTGATTATCTATCTGTTTTACATAATAACAAATTGAAATTTGATATTGCATGAAATTTCAAGTTATTGCTCTGTTTGGGAATTTCCATGTTCCTAAATGTATATTTCTATGTTGGAAAGTAGTGCTCATTATGACACAAATCGATCATGTATTGGTTCAGAAATTGCTTGCAATTTCAATTATTGATGTTTAGAGCAGTGAGGAGGCAAAGCTGTGACCAACGCCTTGTAGTGGTAAAAGCTCCTCAACGGCACTGGAGGAAAAGATGGGAGATTGATAAGCTGAAAGATCTGAAATTGCTGAGAGATTTAGAACATCATCAAATAGGAATCTGATAGAGTCGGGACAATGAAGGAGAGGAATGTGTGGACAAAAAGTGGAAGAGAATTAGAAAAGCTATTGAAAAATCAGTAGAGGAGGATATAGGTGAGAAGGGTAGACAAAGGAATTTGATGCTGAATGCCTTAATGTCTTAGGTGAAAGAAATCAGTGTAGGACGGCGAGCGCTCTACAAGACAAACCTCTGCGACATATAGAGAAAGTAGGAAAAAAGCAAAAAATGTTATCCAAAATAAGAAACGGGATTTTATGAAAAGAAAAATAGAGCAGATTAAGGAATTGATAGCAATAAATGAGACAAGGAAATTTTATGGAGCAGTAAAGTTTAAGAGTCAGAGTTTTCAGTCAAAAATGAAGGGATGCAAAAATAAAGTTGAGAGCTTCCGAGTTCTAGGTAGATGGGAAGAGCAATAAACAGAATTGCTTAACTCTAATGGTAATGAATGTATGGCTGACAATGATGAAGAAAGGTGTGTTGATCATCTGGAGCCCATTGTCAATAGAAGAGGTGGCTGAGTTGATTGAAAATAAAAAAGCAACTGGGGAAGATATGCTTGTTGCAGAATTCTTTAAATATGGAGGAGAAGAATTGATAAGCCAAATACAATTACTGTGGGAGGATGTTTGGAGTAGTGAAATCATGCCTCAGGAGTGGTGTACAGGTCTGATATGCCCGATATATATATATATAAAAAAGGGGATTCGCTTTAATTCGAGAATTACAGAGGAATTTCTCTATTGGCTATAGCCTATAAAATATTTGCAGACACCCTCTCTACTAGAGACTTAACGTATTTGCTGGGAACATACTGGAGGAATACCAGTGTGGATTTAGGAAGGGGAGAGGAACAACTGACCAAGTTTTTGTAATGAGGCAGCTAATGCAAAAAGCCTAGGAATATAAGATTGACCTGCATATGTTGTTCATAGATTACCGGCAAGTTTTCGGTAGTGTGATAAAAAGCAAATTAATAAATGCCTTACACGAAACCCAAATTCCACAAAAATTAATAAGGTTATTGCAAATGACAATGTATAATAGCAATGCAAAAGAAATTATTATTGGCAAAGTAAGCAATAACTTAGGATTAGGCAAGGGGATACTTTGTCTGCTACATTATTTAATATTGTACTTAATAATCTTTTAAGTATAAGTATATGTAGGTGCAAATATTTGAAGTCGATAAAGGAAATATTCACAATTTTGAAAACCAAAATTGAAAATGTTGGGCTGGAAATTAATCAAGAGAAGACAAAATACATATATGTCAGGGACGGCAATGATGCTGGTCCTCGGAGCATTCAAATACGTGGTCTCACCTTCGAGTGTGTCAAAACATTCAAGTTCCTGGGGATAGTAATGAATTCTGAAAATAAAATCGTTGCTGAGGTAAGAAGAGGATCATGGCTGGAAACCGGTCGTACTAAGCCAAACTAAAATTTTTTCAATTATCACTCCTGTCACGACAAACGAAGATAAGATAATATAAGACTTTATTATGATCAATTGTGACTTATGCAGTGGAGACATGGGCACTTTGTACTAGCACAATTAGTATGCTGAATATTTTTGAAAGAAAAATATTGAGAAGAATTTATGGAGCTGTTTGTGAAGAGGGTGTATGGAAGTATCGAAAAAATTCGGAGCTATATGAACTATATAGCTAATAGTATCTATAACTACATGTATAAGTTAGGTTTGCATGATAATATGAGGCTTAATCTCATATGTTCATTGTAAACAATACTTTTAAAAGGTATGGAAAAAGAATTATTGGAAAAATAATAAAATATAATTTTATACACATGTACCTTTTTCTTTTTTTTCTCACCAATAACAATGACGGTGAGAGTGTGTGACTGCTAGTGCTGATATTAGTCCGAAATACCGCCACTACCATCGGAGAACCTGTCCTCGGTCCATACCAATGTTCTTGAGTGGAAGAAATTAAAGACAGCAACATCTCAGGATATAAGAAAGGCGATATCAGATTTAGAAAGATTCGATGGGGAAATGGGAGAATTAAATCATTTCCTCAAAGGAGGCGATCAACTGATAGCACGCATTGTAGACAAGACCACTGAAAACTTGATTGATTCAGGAGATGCAGACTTGAAAGCGGCCTTAGTTTGCCGGGTCGAGCGGAGTGTGCTGAATCTGATCCAAGCAGATGAGGAAACACCGTTGAACGTTGTAAAATACTGGCTGAAGTAGGCGTTCGGAGGTGGCCAGTGGTCCACGGAGGAGGTTATATTACAGATGTTTCGGGAAAAGAGACAGCCCCATCAGAAAAACGGGCAGTACGCGGACGTGTTGCTAGCCATATACAACAAATTAACAGAAAAGATGAGGGAAACCATAGCCTCTGCTGAGGTAAAAGCCAGAATGGGATTTCTATCAATAATCCTGAAAGATCAGCTCGCAAAGGGCACGGGACGGAAAGAGGGGCAACCAAGAGAAAATATATTTGTGGAATGTGCCCAGGAAATGGTGGACGCTAGTGCCAGAAAAGAAGCCAGAAACGTAGTGGAAGAAGAGACGGGATGGAGCAGGGTGAGCTACAGAATGACCAGGACGAAGCCCATTTTTGTGGAGAAGAAGAGAAACTAAAGTTGGCGGACATGAGAGAGCAGTACTGGTGGAAAGAAGACAAGGAAAGGAAAGAAAGAATTGGAAGAAAGAAGAGAGGAAGTGGCATGGGTGTGGGAAGACGGGATATTCAGTAGCACAGTGCCCACTTAAAAGATGTTTCGAAAGTGGAACCAAAGGGTACTGATGGGCAATGATCCCCTGAGTCACTGAGCAATGATCCATCGAATCTCTGCATAAGGACAGTCATGGCTTGAATGGTTTCGGGCCATTATTCACTCTTTAGAATTGTTGTATAACTGATTATCAACAGAGTTCCATAAGATTATTTTTAACACATAACTCAGATTCAGATTTACTTTCTCATCAGATTTCCAGTTTATTTTATTTCTCCCATAAATAAGTACAATAGAACCTTATTGTAATAACTAAGTTAACACATTATTTTCATTATGTTAAGGATTTCACTATTCTAAAGATATTTCTCTTTAAAAAGGAGGAAATAAGTGTACGAACAAACTCTTAAATAAAAAAAAATTCAGTTTGCATTGATATTATCCATAAAAGCTATATCTGCTAATCTACAGATGAATGACATTTAGCAGAAGGGAATCAATCCTTAAGTATCAATATATAACATACCTAAAGTAAACTCAAATCAAGGTCAAATTGCATTAAATAACCTGAAGCTTTCAAATAAATATATTTTATTTTAGTTACAAAATTAATTTTATTCAACTCAAAATATTACTATTACTTAAACAGATTGATCAAAAATTAATTTTATTGAGGTTTTGTTCTCTTTTTTTGAAATAGGAACATTATATTCTACTTCCAATACATTTTTTAAACTTCGATTTTCATTTAAGATCAAATTAAGAGACAGATTTTTCTGTTGATAACAGGTAAGCATTAATCCAATACTAATTATCTTTAACTCACTTTTTCATAATTTGTGGATTGGTTCTCATCTACTAAATGCTGGCCTATTAAAATGAAAATTTCGGTACTAGTTCACAAGAGTTCCGCACGGATTACACGTGGTTCACAATCACTTCAATCACACTTGTTCATGGAATCCCAAAAACAGTTGAATTTTGTCGTCTTTTATGGCATCAGCTATTGCGCTATCACACAATCCTTTTCATGCATTTTTGAAAAAAAAAAAAAAAGTATTCCCTTCAAGGAACTTCCTTATTAATAATTTATTAACGAATTGTTTATTTACTAATTAGTTAATTATTCATTTTTATTGTAATGGTTATTACTGTGAAATAAAAATAAAAATAAAACATAAAATAATGTTTGTGTCGTTTCTTCAAGGCCAGTTAAAAAAAATGCTTTTAGAAATAACACTTTTATTGACACTTGCTTACATGTAGAGGCTATAAATACGTATATGAGCCTTTTTTTTTTTTTAAATTGGCCTACCTCCATTTATCTTCAAATCGAGATATTTAAGAGTTTGCGTTTCAATGACTTTAAAAATATACGTATAGGGTACTAATGAGTCATACTGCTTAAGGGTATCTAAGGGTGTTCAATTTATGGTTCCTATTAAAATAGTAACAATTTTTAAGTGAATAATGTGCGTTTTCTTATCAAGAATGAAGTTAGGCCACTTTCAAAATTAACAACCAGATTCTTTATAAAATTTGAAGGTACCCAAGTCCATTAAACATAATTTAAGATGATTCAAATATACTGTTGTATATTATCTTCTATAACTGTATATAAAAGATTTTTTTATCATTTGGATAATAAATAATTTGAAGTTATCTATTAACTTTTTATTTATTAATCGAGTTTTTCAAAAGAAGTTGGAATAATTTAATTTATAATTTATTTTAGCAAGCCTTTTTTAGAACTAAATTTTTGGATTTCTAATAATATGAGGGTCCCCTATTTTCTAGTGGAAAAAGGAGGGAACAGTTTGTATGCATATACTGTGTGATTTGAGATTGAGAATCAAGTTTATGTAACGTTTTTGAATTCTTAGATATACGGATCCACTATTTTCTCGTCGTCAGAGCTTTTAATGAATATACTGTCAGATTTAAAATTGTTTGTCGATTTTTTGAAGATTTTTGGATTTCTTAGATATAAGAGTCCACTTTTTCTTAGATATAAGTTGTCAAGGACGCTTTTTATGAAAATAATGTCAGATTAAAGATTGCGCGAGAAAAGTGAACTATATTAATAAATAAAATGTGTGGGGATTATTGTAGTCATTCGTACAAAAAAAAAAGAGAAAGGAATTAACTTATTGGGGAAACAACTGACGAAAAATATCTGATAATTCCAAGATAATGAATAATGGAAATCATCAATAAGAAAAATAATATCGTGAAATAGCATTCAGAGATGTAATAATTAAAGGTTTTTATCTATTACTATATCTTTTTCACAGATCTATAATACATGTACAGGTTCGATTCAGGTTTCATGATGTGTAGCTTAAATTTGGAATGCGTGCGGAACTCTTGTGAACTAGAATCAAATTTCTAACTGCTTAACTTATATCTGCTGGTAGATGATAAAACAATGTTCGAATATTATTCGTACCTATGTCTTAGATCGCACAGATCACTAGCAAAATTAATATCTCCAGATACAAGAACAACAGCTGCTGGGAAACCATGAGTATCTGCAAATCTTCTCATTGACTGTCTTAACTTTTCATCTGCAGCATTTTTACTGGTAGAAGCAACATGTATCAGATTAACCTGCAAAGTGATTAAATCAAAGTATTTAATTTATATTAAGTCATAATTAATAGGATAAAACAAAATGAAAATAGAGAATAGTATCCATGTTTATTGATTTATAAATCAATAACATTAATGTTAAAAAATTGATAACACTTTATATTGAGGGTATTACAGAGACAGGCAACCATACAAGAAGACTTGTCATATTGGCTGTGCTATATAACAGAACACAAAGAGCAATTTATTCAATTATATAACCTATATAATTATATAAGGTTTTTTTTTACTTTTATATAAATGTAGCTTTTTAATTTTTTTTATTCTTATTGAAGCATTTTTTATTTTTGTATACTTTTATTCTCGACAGAAATATTTTGATTTTAATCTTTTTTATTTTCAGCTTTCTTTATTTTTGTATGAATGATTTACAACTTTATTTGGTTATTTACCAAAATGTATCAATGTATTTAAAACAAGGGGATATTTATATTTTCTTATGCTATAAATTATATTCAACTGAATATTTATTTCGAAATACTGGAAATTCATAGTTTTAATTTCAACTTTTATTTTATGTTTGCAATTTTTTTATATTTTTGTTATTTTTAAACAGAGTATTTGTTTAAAAAAATATTATATCCTATCCTTTATTCTCGATTCTTTTCACCAAAACTCTACTTCCCAACTCCACTATTATGTCTAATATTTTGAATTCCTGTCACATCAACACCCAATCACTCATTGCACACTACGATGAATTCCAGAAATATTTCCTTGACAATTTTTACCAAATAATAGCAGCATCTGAAACCTGACTAAAACCTTTTGTACCATCCTCCCAGATTTCCTTACCAGATTACTCGTTCCTACGTCACGATAGATCGCATCGCACGGGAGGTGGTGTAATGATTTTCCTCACATAGAATACATGTTCATTGAAATTTCCTCTCTTTCTTCTCCTCTGTTGTATGCAGTAGTTTACCGCCCTCCTCGTGTTCCATTTGACAACCTCTTTGAATCTTCCCTTATTAATCTGATCTCCAACTATACCAATATTATCATCACCAGTGATTTTAATGTGAACATGCTTTCACAATCTCCCGAAAAATACTTCCTTACTGACCTGTTGCTTTCCCTTAAACTATATCTTGTTCCTTATCTCATACCCACCACACACAATTTTCTGATACTTGGTTAGACCTCTATATCTCTGACTCTCCCATCAAAATCCTTTCCTCTTCTCAACATCCAGTTCCATTCCTTTCATCACATGACCTGATCCAAATTACATACGATCTACCCGTGAAATCCTTCACTCCCAAAATAGTTTCATACCGCAATCTAAATCTTCTCCCCTATGAATTAATTCTGCCCAATGGGACACCATATATTCCTACAACTCCATTGATCCTATGGTATCCACCCTAACATGGGTATTGTCCCATCCAGATCCAACCCTTTCTCAGTACACATTACCTCCCTAATGCATGTTCTAATGCCAAATTGAAGAGGACAAGCGAAAGGAAACCACCCTGTTTTAAACCCGAACGAACCTCAAACTTTTCGAATAAATTATTACCAATTCTAACTTTATTGATTGTTTCCGTCAAGCACATCCTGACTAGATTTACTAATTTTTACAGAATCTCTTGCTCAATTAGGATATTATACAGTTTCTGGCAAAATATTATACAGATAAACAAAACTTGTGGATATCAAGCCTGTATATGTTGAGGGATTACTGAATTTCTGAAAATGGGTTTTTCCAGAGATTTTATTCTCTTACGAAAAATGTTAGATCTTGTAATATAGATATTTTTTAGCCAATGAAAACGGTGAGTAAGCTATGCTGACCTTACTTGGCAGACATTTTTTTAAAAATAACAATTCGTATTTAAGAGTTTTAAACTGCCTTAAAAAGGAATCTGATTTGCTATTTCATAACAAAAAGTTACTCGGCCTACTTTACAGGAAGCAACTTTTGGTTTTTGTAATTTGTGATACACTATAACTAATTTAATACAATAGTGAATATTTTTTCTTGTTCTGCACAAAAATGATTGATATATAGTAGCCTAAAAATCCATGCAAAGCAAAGGCAAAAATCTGATGCGCGCAACACACAACTTTCACTTATTGCTCTACTTGGAATAGAAATTATTTTCTGGCAATGCTGGACTATTATAAAATTTTTGAGTGCATTTTAAACGAAGCTGAAACTAAAAGCTAACAAATCATTAAGACCATTAAAATTACAAAAAGTCTATTTACTATATCGACGGTAGGCAATAAAAATCTAGTTACTCCATCTACTTTTATAAACCACACAACTTCAGTCTCTGAGTCTTCTAGTTGACAGAATGACTAACTCCAATTTCAACATTTTTAGTAATGTAATGTTAGTGATATTTCTAGTTGAAAAAGTTATCTATAGAGACAGTGAGTAAGTTGACTCCGGAGTAGCTAATTGCAGTGTTGAAATATAGAACTGTGAGTAAAGGTATAAATTTTAGCACTAGAAACATCACTAAAATTAATAATAAAGAATGTTGAAATTAGAGTTAGTCATTCTGTCAACCAAAAGGCTCATATGGCTAAAGAGGTTTGAAAGTATATCCGAATATTTAACCTATAAATGATTATGGATCGTAGGACTATTAATTATTAACCTGTCATTTTCCATTGTAAAGTTTACTAAAACAAAATTATGAGATTTTCATTGCCTTGCCATAGATAGGTCAAAAGTTGTCACACTAATTGTAAGTGGATAATGTTGGGATTTCACAAAGCGAAAATTCATCAAATTATTCACTAATTTAATGTTCTAAAAGGTTACTTGATGATTTCTTGGAATAAACGGCCGATAGATACCTAATTATTTAAATATAATATCTTATTATTTAGAGTTAATACTCTGTAGTAAATATTTTTGAGGTTATAAACATATCCATGAAATATTTTTATATTTCACTTCTTCTTTCACAAAAGTACAATGAAATAATATTTTAAACAATGGCATTGGCTTGATTCGGTGGATTTTAAATACTTTTTTTGCAATCTTAGAAAAGCATTTAAAAGTTTACATATTGTAAGAAAATTTCATTTAATTTCCTTGGAAACATGTGATTTACGTTAAATAATGTTAGTTTTCTGACATTATTATTTATAATGTTTTCGCCACTCTCCTTTACCTTCTACAACGATCTATTTTAAACATTGCTTTTTCTAAAATTCTTCGCTTTCCAACGATATATTATGCATATACCTTCTGACTGGTATTTCTGGAGATTCATTTTCGACCTGGATAAGCATTTTTATTTTTTCCTCCTTTATTCAATTATCAAATTCTTTCAAAAGTTATTTTTAGCATTTTTTCGTAACTCTGAATAACTTGAGATGATTATTTTTTTAAAATAAATCATATTAAAGATACTTTAGAGGAAGACGTATATGAACATTGGGTATTTAAACTCTGCAAAGTGACATCAATGGAGATAAGACCTGATTGATATTAAAGACCACTTAATTATACAATGATACAGCGAGTTTAATTTAAATCGTTAGAGCTGTTTTTGAGAAAATTGTAAAAATGTGCTTCATCGTCGATATAAAGTGGCACTTCCGGTTAGCCGATTTTAAGGAAAAAGTTGCTGTCACATCTAAGGCATATACTTATCTTAAATACGTATATCAGTTTCGTACGACTTTTTGTTTTTGAGCTAGACTGCTAACATACAAACACACAGACCATTTTTCAGGACTTGGGTTTTTGGACTCAGGGTACGCCAAAACGTATATTTCCGTTGAAAACTCAGATTAAAAAATTTTCACGATCGTAATACTTACCCTTACTATATATTACATATATAAGTAAGTGAAAGTAAAAATAAAAAACATAAATTTTGTTTGAAATTATATAAAATTTTAAAATATGTGTCCAATATTTCTCGATGTAGTATCCCCAAAAAAATTTGGTTTAAATCAGTGAACCACAGACTGTATCCTATCATTTTCAGTAGCCTTTTGGTGGCGTGTTTCCGCCTAATGATGGAACACAATTACCTTCAAAGATATTTGAACAGGATCAGCGTCATGGAAAGTACTGTATACCCTCTGTGATGAGAGGATGAGATGAACGATCTCTACCTCCCTATCTGTCAGGGCTGAGTTAGGTATTGAGACCGGGGTCTGTCTGACGTTTTCAATAATGACAGACACAACTGCTTGCTATGGAAGTCATAATATGAAATTGTAAAGTGGAATCATAGCAAAGCTGTATTGGACTGCCAGAAGAAAAACTGCACCCATATTGGCAAAAGTATAGGTGTTAATAAAAAAAAATTAAGGAGATAAATACATAATGATAAAACAATAAATCAATGATTTATACAAAATTTCAATACCTGAGCATCATTGAGCTCTTGAATTATTGTAGGATTTTCCTTTTTAACATCACAAACAACTACAAATTCAGCTTCTCGGTATCCACTAAAAAATCTCTCTCTAATAGCTTGTACTACAAGAACTGCTGATTTACCATGTGGAATCTGAAAACAGCACAATATTAAAATAAAAAAAAAAAGATTATTTAGATTTAGAACTTAGTGAAATTTTTCTTTACTTGACAATTTTCAATATCCCAAAAAACACCTATTGGAGGAAGTCTTTGAGGGCTGCCATCGCTGCGATAGCCAGGATCTAAGTCAACACATTTTTGGTAAATTGTTTTTAAATTTGAGTAGGTTTTCTGTTTGTTGATATCTCCAGAAACAGAATTAGAATCTGAATAGCTATCTGATGATTCATTATCTTTAACTGATGACACAATAAGTGGTATCGGTGGAGGTGGTGGAAACTTAAAATTATTTTGTGGAATATCTTCTGATGGAAACAGCTTTCGAGCAACTAAAAAAAAAAATGCTAAAAATATAGCTTTTAAACAAAATATTGTACAAGAAGTATTGTGAAGAAATCAAGGATTGATTAAAACTAAATATTAAAAATAAAAACATGCAAATAAAGCAATTATATAAAAATAAATACAATAGAACCTCAAACATCTGAAAAAATGGTTAGAGACAATGGAGGGCTCACATGGATAAATGAAAACCATTAGTCAGGAAGCTTTGTATTTAATTAATTAAATATATGTGTGTGCGCGCATGCACACATTGTTTGTATGCATAAAAAATACAATGTTTTCAGGGATTCGGATATGATGCAATCAAAGTACAACAAATACCAAAGACAAACTAAGTAATGTGAAATAAGCTGTGTAAAACAAGACAATTTGTTAAAAAAATCAGAGTGGGACTACGTTGAAACTTTTATGAAACAGTGAGCATAGTTAATCAAGGTTCTACTGTACATCAAATGTAGGCAATAAACAAGACCAGGCAAGAAATAAGATAAAAGTGGTGAATAAGGAAGAAATAATGAATTTATGTTGGGAGAAATGGGAAAACATTTAATTCAAGTTAACTAGTTCAAAACTAATCGTATTTTGCAAAGAGCTATTTGGCAAAGATACAGTTAAAGTTTATATTGTTTTTTCTCATGTATTGTAAAACTTGATTTATACTGAGCCTTATTTATTTTGGATTGTAGATTACGTATCTTTTCTTATACTTAAAATTATTTTAAGGAATATCTTCTAATAGAAACAGTTTTCAAGCATCTAATAAAATGATGACTTGGCCATAGTGGTGGGGTCCGGCAGAACTGGCTTGAAAGAAGAAGCAGAAAGGTGCACCAATCATATCGGTGAATGGTTCGAGAGCAAAGGGATGAAAATGGCAGGTGCCAAGCAATATTCCTGAAAAAATACTACTATGACACACCCTATGTTCATGAATATATAAGGAATAAGGGTTAGTGCAAGTGAGGATGAAACCTACCTCGGAGTAAGGTTCGGGAGAAGATTTAATGTTACTCCTCACTTGGATTACTTGAGATGTAGAGGGACCCTCAATGGAATAAGTCATATCAGGGACACCTCCGGGGCCTCAGGTACCCGGCAACGATGACTATCTAATGGAAACATGTCCCTAGCCTAGAATCGAAATCTCTCACAACTACAGAAGGAAAGATTGACAAACATTGAAAGAACAGCACTGCTGTGAGTAAGTTAATCCTACAGAATCTTGAGATCTTGTGCCACCGATGAAGTGGAGTGACAATTGTACAGTAGTACCAAAATAAACATTCATGAACTAGTTATGGAACAAGTAAAATGGAAACCCATAAAATGGTTATAACTCCAGTCATCACATTCAGAATACCAAGTATTGTTGGCTTTGGGCTGTGGGAGTTCTTCTTATTATAAAACAGTCAATATACATTATTACACTCAATTACGATCAAGAAAAAGATTTCTCCATACTTAAAAGAAATAAGTTGGCATTAGTTACTGACAAGACCAAAAAGTAAACTATTAATACACATATAGATGTTTATATATACACATGTATATAAATATATATTTAGAGAGGAAGATTTTACAATTTATTTCAGATTAAATAAGGTATGATAATTACAAAAAATGAATAATTTAAATTATAGATGAATGATACAATTATTTATAATACAAAACATCAAGTTCATGATACTCCAAACATCTATTAAACTAGCATCAAAAGATATTTTACAATCAGCTAAAATGGTTATAGACCTAGAAACGAACACAGAAATATTACGAAAAAAATAAATAGATTAGGAGGAATAGAATAATTAAAAATAAAAGAATAAATTGAAAACAAAAGGTAAAATTTGGAGAAATTATACTGAAAGTTTAAATAAGATAAATGAACATCTTTGTACCTTTCTTCGTTTGATTCATTGCTTCAAACATTATCATCAATGAACATTTTTTTTTAGATTTTCACTACTAGCACTGCAACTTAATACTGCAACAAACAGCCTTTCACAACATAGAAGGTTACAAGTCTTGTTTTCAAAACAAGAGGTGGCAAACGCTCAGTAAAATGTACAGCCAGTAAAACACATGCACAGCCTGTTTCAATCAAGAGATCAAGATTTCCAGTTTCTCTCAAAAGCTATAAGATGATTTATACTTATGGGTATATTGCAATAAATATATTTAATAAGATTATAATATGATGAATAATGAAATTAAGACATGACAGTCTCAACGGATTTTTAGTTTTTTGGAGGAGGGGTGAGATACTGACATCACATTTTTATAACTGTTTCAATATTTTTATTTCGATCTCTTTAAGGGCCTCTTACAAGGTCAATATTATTAAATCAATATATTGATCGTATAATATTATGTCAGTTGCGATCTTGTTTTCTCGAATGAAGAAGACCTTCCATCATTTTTCTAAACATGAATTTCATATAGTTCTAATGTCCTTACCTATAGTATTAAAAATATGCTTATATAATATATATACTGACAGGCAAAAAATTCCACCCACTTGATTTTTTCATGTTTTCATCTAAAAATATTTCTGCTTTGGATTGGTCTATTGTTTTTAATGAATAAATAGGTAATCTTTTTGCTTGTTTTCAATTAGGAATGTTAATATAGAGGACAATAACCCTTAATCCTTAATTCAATGAAATGATTCTAGATTCCAATGTTTACTTTCTATGGAATAAAAATGTTTATTCACTATCATTAGTTCAGTGCCGTTTCTTGCAGTACAGTTCTTAGTCTCCGGTTTTTAATTTTTTCAATATTAAGTTTAAAAATGCCTCTTAGGGCTGAGGATGTTGCGCTTGGTGTGGCACTTATTGATGACGGACGTTCCATTAGATATGCAGCTAATGCCATCGGAGTTCCATATGAAACATTACGAGACGCCGTCAGGCGTTTTCGGGAAACTGGTTCTTACAATAGAAGGCCCGGTTCTGGACGGCCTAGGGTAACAGAACCACGGGATGACCGGTTTTTGACTTTGAGAATTTTACGATACCAGCACCTTACCGTTGTTCAAGCGATTCATCAGCTCGAAGAAGTTCGAGTTGTGCAAATTTCTGAACGTACCGCTCGGAGAAGATTAAATGAGTATGGATTAATGGCTTTTCGTCCAGTAAGAGGACCATAGTTCACCAGAACTCACAGAGTAACACGGCTGGCTTTTGCTCGAGAACACAGCCATTGGACTATGGACGAATGGAGTGCTGTATTTTTTACAGATGAGTCAAGATTCGTTCTTCGATCACCAGACGGGTGTGAAAGGGTGTGGAGAAGAAGAAACGAAAGAGAATCCTTTCCAACATGGTTCCTTAATGGTGTGGGCTGGGATTTCAATGGAGCCCCGCACAGAATTGGTTATTGATCGTGGAGGGTCTTTGACGGCCATGCGCTATGTAGATGAGATTTTAGAACCTCATATGTTGCCTATCCTCAACGAATTCGGCGATCGTTCAATTCTAATGCACTCCCACATGTTGCCCGCACATTGCAGACATTCCTTCAACAGAACAATATTGAAGTTTGTTTGTTTGTTTAGGTTTTAAGGCGTAAAACCCTAGGGTCATCAACGCCTGTGAGTCGGGTATGTTTGTAAACTCTTTAGTTCAGTTCGTGTGTCCTATTCTTAACCTGGCCACGTCGACCTCCTCTCTACGATTAAAGCGGTTTGATGTGATCCAAGGCTTCACCGATTTTTTAATATCTTTTAATTTGCTAGGTGGGCTTTCGTTCCATAGGTTCCCAACTATCCAATATTTCTTTTTTGAGTGGAAAACTCATTTTGGAGGGGTCAGGATAGGAGTACCTCGGTGTGGAAGCGCGAGTGCCTGTTTGGCTGCCGTATCCGCAAGCTCATTACTGACTATACCCACGTGACTGGGAACCCATATAAAACATACCGATTTCCCTAAATTTTCCAGAGTGTGAAGATATTTTTGTATTTTAACGATAACTGGATGTTTTGAGTACATATCATTTAAACCCTTTAATGAACTCAAGGAGTCGGTTATCAAGACTATTGAGGCTGGAGCTATTGACATACAGAAGTGGAGGGCTGAGGCTATTGCGTGAAGTTCCGCACAATATTGAGGTTTTAGCCTGGCTGCACGTTCTCCAGATTTGAACCCCATTGAGCATTTATGGGATAACCTCGGAAGACGAATAAGAGCGCGTGCAACACTTCCTGATAAACTGCAGGACCTTGAAAGGGCTCTTCGGTAGGAATGGGCTATCCTCCAGCAAAGGGACATTTCCTGACTAGTGGAAAGTATGCCGAGTCGTCTTCAAGAAGTAGTGAAGGCAAGAGGAGGAAACACGCGCTACTAAACGATGATGTAATTAATTTCTTTTAGAATAATAATGGTTCGTTTTGGAATCTTGGAAACATTGGAATCTAGAATCATTTCGTTGAATTAAGGATTAAGGGTTATTGTCCTCTATATTAACATTCCTAATTGAAAACAAACAAAAAGATTACATATTTATTCATTAAAAACAATAGGCCAATCCAAAGCAGAAATAATTTTAGATGAAAACATGAAAAAATCAAGTAGGTGGAATTTTTGGCCTGTCAGTGTATATGGTCGGTTTTCGTAAAAATCACTAACAAGGGAACTCAGCACTGATATTAACCAATATTTTTTCGGTGAAACTACATCGAAACAAATATTAGACACATGTCCGTTTTGAAGTTATCATAATTTTTGTGGTTGGTGGCAACATTTTCTAGGTGCCAAGGAAAAATTTCGTGCCGAAAATTTTAATTTTGAGATTGTCATAAAAAATCATATTTGAGATTTTTATGAGGTGCTAAAATAGAATATTCATTTTGTTTTTCGTAAAACAATATTTACTGTCGAGATCAGGCCCGGTTTAAATAAGTATTATATTTGGCAGATGACTACAATTTTTTTTTTTTTTTTTACGGGCTCTACAGTCTGAGGTTGACTTTGGCCTCCTTTACGATCTTTTTCCAATCCTCTCTATCTTTCATTCTTATCCTCCAATTTAACAATCCCATTCTCCTTAAATCCTCTTCCACGTCACCTCTCTAGCATTTTCTCGATCGTCTTCTTTTCCTTTTTCCGGGAAATTCCTCTTTAATTATCTTTTTCGTTGCTTTGGCTATCTTTCCACGAGTCCTAGCCAACTAATTCGTCTAGCTTTAATAAAGTGTACAATATCCGCGTGCTTCAATAGTTCATCCAGCTCCCGATTTGTCCTTATCCTTCACTCTCCCTGTATGCATAGGAAGGCAAAAATTAATCTCATGATTTTCTTTCTAAAATCCTTAGTGCCTTCTGGTCAGTTACTTTCAGCGTCCAGGCTTCGGCTCCATAGCAAACAACTGGTTGAACCAAGGATTTATACATTTTGAGTTTTGTGACTCTGGATATGAGTGTCGATTTAAAAAGCTTTAAACATGCCAAAGTACGCTCTGTTGCCTGCCATGATTCTTTCTCTTATTTCCGGTTCGTGTCGTTAGCTATTAATCCAACCTTGTTACATTCTACAACCAATGTCGATAGAACCTCAACTATTGCGGCTTTGCTTGTACCTATAATTGTAATGTCGTCAGCATATCCCAATATTTGCCTAGTTCGTCATGCTAAATTACCATCAGGCGTGATCCCTTTAACTGCATTATGTAGCGCTAAGTTAAATAGAATTGCTGAGAGTGCGTCTCTCTGCCTTACTCCAGAATTAAATTGGAATATTTCGCCAACCTGGTTGCCAATTAATTTTCAAGCACTTTTCGTAAAATAAAAATCGGATCGCTAGTACCTCTGTTAGGCCGAAAACCACACTGGTAATCCGTTATGATTCTTTCTGAATACATTTTTAGTCTTTGTACCATAAGATTGGATAAAATTTTATAAACGACATTTAAAAGCGTTATTCCTCGATTGTTTTCACATACCATTTTACCACCTTTTTTTAATATTGGGAAAAGATAGCTACAATATGGGCACAATTTGGACAAATCGGCGTACAGTGATTCAGAGGCAGAAATACCTTAAAATGAATGTATTCCAATCAAACTGTTTCTACTATATTATCTTTCCTTAACATCCAAAGAACGTAGGCCACTAACTATTTTTACTAGTTTCCTCCGATTTAGCCATTAAAAATATAAATTAAACAGATATTTGAATGATTTTACAAAAGAATAACGGTATGTACTGATATCTTGAATACATTTTTTTATATCTTAATAAGAGAGAAGTAATTGGTTTTGTTTTTGAAATGTCATATTCATGAAAAAATAAGTATAGAAAAAATTAAATTTGGTACAGTCTTACAGTTCTTTGGTTTTCACTGTTACAACTATGCAAAATCCGAAGCATAAACTAAATATAAACGCAAAATGACCAACTAGCTACAACTAAGCTACACACTGAGAATTACTTCATTCGATAGTTTGGAATTAAAACGTAAATTCTATAAGAACAATTACTTGCTTTTATTCCCTTTTTTAAAAGTACGAGTGATTTCAGTGCATACAATTTATAAAACGTTCCATATCATGTAATTGTAATAAACCTATATATTTAAACATTTATTAAGTCAGTTTTTCTTTAAATCTTTCTAATCTTTAAAATTTTAATCCAATAATGTTAATTTTAATTATCAGAGAAATGTTTATTAAAAGTTTCTCGGAGTTCTGTGCATGCGCTAGATTGTATCAGTCATCTCGTACTTCTCTTAAAAATATTCATTTTTCGTTGGAAAAATAGTGTTAGTTTTAATTAAAGCAGTGTCAAGACGTCAGTTAGTCACCTCGACCAAAATATGAACTAATTCTACTGTAAGTACAGTTGTTATTTATTGTGTACTATTGCGAACAGTGAACAGAAGTTAAGGAGGACAGTGCCTTTTCTCGCCATAGTGCCACGTAGCCATGTAGATATCAACAGGTCAGTTGGGCTGCTGTCGTTCACCAGGGTAGCTACGGCTTGCATTCAATCCCAGACAAATTTTCCAAATTTCACCAGAATCTCACTCATCATCCTAATCCTGTAGCACAGTCCCTATCTAGCTCC